TGACTAGCATAGTGTTAACAGCAAATAGCACTGCTGCTTTGCTGAAGATAAAGGGTTCAACCCCTTTGCGCTTACCCTCTCTTTCCCCCTCCCCCCGCTCCCCCTCCATCCCCTCTCCCACATCTTCCCCTCCATCCCCTCCCCACACCTTCCCTTTTCCCCGATTCTTCGCTGATGGAGCAACCAATTCCTCTACAGTTCGTTTGTTCATTTCAATGATAAATTGGTACCGACACATATCAGTGAGTCAAACTCATGATCAGTATGGTTTTAGGTCACTCTCGAAAGAGGATGCGATAAATGGCTTTCGGAGCGAGTAGTTTGTTTAACAGGGGCTATTTCTGAGTGCTTCCACTTTTTACAGAGCGAGAATAAAAAAGAAGTCTTTGTCGCGTAAACTGAAACTCACGGTGCTATTGTGGCTTAAACTCACTAATACCACCGATTTTTAGATTCCTCATAAATATGCACTTGCGTAGCGAGTGCAGCTGTGTAATTGAAATTCAAAAGTCAAAATCCCGTTTTTATCCATTCCCTATGAAAGGCACTTAGATGTATTCCGAATGGTAGCATTTACCGATAGCGGACATCCACTGGTAAGACTGTTGGTCTTTCGAGCAGCAAACGGCCAGTAACAATCTGCCATCGAAACGAATCGTAAAGGGATTGAGGGACTATTCCAGTGGAGGGAGTATTCCAGAGGCGAAGTCGAACTGTCGATCTGCTGTACTACTGTAGCGCTAAACTGAAAGTAGCAGAATGTAAATACGCGTATAAAAAATTTGCTCGATATAATATAGTCGTTAATTTACTTATAATAAAGAAAAATCCCTCCATCAAAAGTGTGCTTATTAATTATCAAAAAGCCAAGCTTTTAACCCGTTAGATTTATTTGCCATAGTTCCTTCCCTTCATTTCCATATTGTCTGTGCGAGTGCATTTCCTGTATACAGTGTTTCATTGATGTTAATTTTGTTAAATATTTGTTATTAAAGGTTTTTCTATTTAGTAAAATGAATGTTCGTTTTCTTTTTCGCGGTGCATTAAAGCCTTTAAAGTTATTGCATTTTCTTTTAATAATTACATTTTCGGCAGGATCGACAGCAGGCTAATCTGTACTCCAATTATGTAGCCGACAACTTTTCCTGTTGCATTGGTCAAAGCATCAGGAAAAGTTGCCGGCTACATAATTGGAGAACCACGGATATTCATGGCATGTCAACTTTAAAACACAGCATGTGTTTTAAAGTTCACATGCTAAGCACCGAAGAAACAGAGAAGAAAAAACTTTTCTTCTTTGAAAAGAGGAGTAAGAAAGGAAATAATTGGCCAACGCACGGGCTGCCCGGGCGAAGATGCGTTTTTTGCAGAGTTCCCCGTAGTTTTTGTCGCTGCCGGCATCGGTTTTATCGGCAGATGCTTCTAGCTGAAAGAATTTTAGACTGG